TCTGGCAAATGATTTGAACAAACACTTCACTATATATGTGTGTGTATGAATATATATATATAGCACTATATATATAGCACTATACCACTATATTATTATATACAGATGCATACATTTATGTATGTGTCTGTGTGTCTGTGTGTGTGTGTGTCCAATAAGCACAGAAAAGTTTCTCAACATCATGAGTCATCATGAAAGTGTAAATTAAAATCAAACTTAGATATCACCACACGCTTACTAGAATAGCTAAAATGAAATAGGGTGACTGCATCAGATAACGGCAAATGTGGGCCAACCAGAATTCTAATATATTATTCTGTATAATGGTACAACCACCTTGGAAAAGTTATGACACTTGCTTATAAAACTAAACATCACTATTCCTTAGCGATTCCATTCCTAGACATTTAACCAAGAGAAATGAAAACATTCATTCACCCAAAAAGCCTTACACAACTATTTTCACAGCAGTTCTATTCATGAGAGCGCCAGACTGAAAACATCCCTGATGTCCATTAATAGAAGAATGAATGAACAAAAGGTGTAGAATACAAAAGTAGAATGTTTCTCAGCAATAACATGACATGAATTACTGGTACATGCACCAACTTGGAAGAATCTTTAAAATATGCTGAGAAAAAGACCCCTGACACAAAGGAGTACATACTCCTTGTATATGATTCCATGAAGTTCTAGGACAGGCAAAATTATTAATAATCTATGGCGATAAAACTACAACAAAGGCTACTGGAGTAGAGGGAAATTGGCTGAGATACGAGGGAACTTTCTGGCGGGATGCAAATACCTTGATAGGGATATGGGTTATTTGAGTATACATATTTTTTCAAAACTAATCTAACTGTACATGTAAGATCTGTGCATTTCACTGCAGGTACCTCAATACAAAGAAAAAAAATGCTTCCTATTGCTACTTCGGACTGGTTTTTAAGTAACTGCTGGTCAGTAGAAGATAGAGGAGTAACTAAAGCAAGAGTAACTAAGCTAGTAACTAAGTCAAGTCATCTTTTTCTGGTGACTAGATCATTGAGCCACAATATTATCATGACATAGAAGGCAGGGTTCTGGGTTGGGAACCCGGAGCTTCTTGGAGGCATGTGC